GAGCTTTAATCACATGTTAAGGTAACAAGTTTCACTGATTGATGACTCGATGGGAAAGTCGTTAGTCAGCTGACAAGTAATTTGTTTCGCGTTTGTGAGCCGTTTTTGAATGCTCTAGTGAAATCTCTGTATTGGAAAGCAGGAAAAAGGAGGAAATGTCAAGTGTGAATTGTGGATTCTAAACAGCTGAACCCAATATCAATGATCTCAGTATATCTAGTGAAGAATCGACAGTGGATTCTGATTTTGAAAGGTTAGAATTTGAAAGAATACAGAGAGTGGATGCACCTGCGAAATCGCAAGCGTTTTTCAGTTGGATGCCGCCTTCAGGTCGAGAAATACTACTATTGTGAGACTTTTGAACGTGTGTCATTGTTCTTGGACCTGACGTAGTATGAATATTTAGTGGTGAGAGATACCATATTGTCTATGATCACCACAACTAATACGGTCAAAGGCAAAGTTGCTATTGAAGAAAGGAGGAACAAGAAGGCAGCAGTGAATTTCAGCCGAACAAGAGCGGAGAAAGTTACCACACAAGCTGCATACACAGAAGCAAACAGGGAAGTGAAAAAGAGCGTCAAAGCTGACAAACGAAAATATGTGGAAGATCTAGCAATGAAGGCGGAAAAGGCTGCGAGAGAAGGAAACATGAGACAATTTTACGAAACAACAAAGAAGCTCGCCGGAAACTATCGTAAACCAGAACGACCAGTGAAAAGTAAGGAAGAGAAAGTAATCAGCAACACTGAACAACAGCGAAATAGGTGGGTAGAGCACTTTAAGGAACTCCTGAATTGACCAGCTCCACTGAACCCACCCAACATCGAAGCAGCATCCACGGATCTCCCAATTAATATTGGTGCACCTACGATTGAGGAGATCAGTATGGCCATCAGACAAATCAGGAGCGGCAAAGCAGCAGGACCAGACAACAATCCAGCAGAGGCAATGAAAGCAGATGTAGAAGCAACTGCGAAAATATTTTACATCCTCTTCAAGAAGATTTGGGATGAGGAACAAGTACCATCAGATTGGAAAGAAGGATACCTCATCAAAATACCAAAGAAAGGCGACCTGAGCAAGAGTGAGAACTACAGGGGCATCACTCTTCTTTCAATACCAGGCAAAGTCTTCAACAGGGTATTGTTAAACAGAATGAAGGACTTCGTAGACGCCCAACTTCGAGATCAACAGGCCGGATTTCGTAAGGATCGATCGTGTACTGACCGAATTGCTACATTACGGATCATTGTGGAACAATCAATTGAATGGAACTCACCACTCTACATCAACTTCATCGAGCACGAGAAAGCATTCGATAGCGTGGATAGGAAAACACTGTGGAGGCTTCTTCGACACTACGGGGTGATTTTGGATTTCTATCGTGGCAGTTCAATTCGATTCCAATAGACGTATGTCGGACGCACTTCCCAATTTTGAATATAAGAACACAATAATTCTAGGGGAAAATGGTCTATTAATAAATAATAAATGGAAATACAAACAATACCTAACGAAATTTACGCCTTCCAATTCAAAATTACTCTGAACGAGTATCAATGTTCTGAGGTCTAGGTGAACTCCTATACTGCACGATATCGAATCCAAAAATGTGGCGGTAGCCATATTATATCAAATTTAAACAACATATGTACAGTTCAGAAGCAAACATAAAAACTTCAATATAAGTACAAAATATAGAAAGAATAACAATATACAATGATAAAATCTCAAATTGGAATCAAATAAAATACCAAAAATGTCAACAGAAAAAGTCCGTCATGTCATAACAAAAATATGTAAACATGGAGGGATTTTCCAAAACACAAAACATTCAAAAAAGATTCTACACCGGCCCGCAAAATCCCTCCATGCAAAAAGCAAGCGTTAATGACACTTCTATTTAGGGTTCCCACTCATCCCCTAATCCACACCGGAAGAACGTGTAGGACTTACAGCAGTACGCCTACCCGCCCTTCAACATGGATATGACCTATCAAGCTAACTAGGTACCTATACCTTCCCATCAGGCCTTTGATTCCCCTATCTATCGTGGCATGACCTAACGGTAGTATAAACCTTACCCAATTAACCCACACAAACATGTACAACACGTCGTAAAGCTGGTCATATCCTATCCGGGAACTACATTCCATATCATGTGGATGAGTCGTCAATCCACCACCACTTGCTCCGGACAGCAGATACAATGAAGTCCGTGATGCTGACTTATCAACAGACGTTCTTGACCCGTATACAATATGCAAGGGTGGGATCTCCAATTTTGACATTTCATCGTCTACCGAAGACTTTAAGTAGCATAACATGGGATCAATATTTATCTCTCCATCTCCTGATACAGAGGAGGTTTGATCAGCATTCGTCATCTTCGACAACTCATTTATCACATCAGTGACATCCAGATTATTATCATCGTTATCATGGCAATGAGCCTGTTTATATATTCGTGGTCCCCTCTATTTTATATTGTTATAAATGTGGAATAAGATCACCTTATCCGTTACAAGCAAGTATATCAGATGTCACTTAGGAGACCTTTACATTTGACCTTTCAATTGTAAACTACAAGTTTCCATCAGACAAGTGATTCTTCTCAGGCGCTGGTCACAGCCACCCTGCCTAATCAATGTTTGCTGGCATATTCAACCATATTTCCAGTGTGAAGTTCGAGACCTGTATTTAAAAAGAGACATAGCAACGACTTGCTTAAGTTCATTGCAAACGAATCTGGAGTAGGTATTGTTTTTTGAAAAGTTACATCAAGGATTTTGTCGCTAGTTTTGATTAAGCTCTTCTAGAGTTAATGTTGGGCGCCAAGGCTGTTGTCAGTTTTCGAAAATGATTGAGTTCCAACCCAATGAGATCAGTGTTCTGGGTGACTTTCAGTGAACCATGTAATTCTAATGTTTGAGTTGACGCGACTTTCCCTTGTACTCGACAGATGGAGCTGCAACCACGTGTTGGGGTAACGAGTTCCATTTGTTGACAAGGTGTTGATTTTTGATTTTTACCTATAAAATACAATCGTGCCTTACGCCTATGTGGAACTAAAACTTTTTAAACAAGTGTGAAGAAACAACTGATTTACACGAGATCATCTCTACGATATGAGACTCGGATTTCATCCTATCGATGCGTCCGCCACCACCTCTACCCTCAAAAAATTGCGCGTCAAAGAGCAAATACTCAGATTCTTGCTCACTTTTTCGCATTAGAAGTGGTTGAAACTCGTAATACCCCAATTCGAGGTGACCACAACCCTTTCAGTGGACAGCTTTAAGAAGAGACTTGATAATAACGTACTCACAAACGGATTATCATCTCCCTCGTGGATAAGTTGTGTCTGATGCACGTCCTGAGACCTGCTGGTTGTTTTAATCGCCATCTCCTCAGATCAGTCACTCAATCTATCTCGCCTATTATCTCTGTTTCCTCTCCCTCGCTTACACTTCGGTCCTCTCTCGCAATCTTCACTACGAATTAGTTAACCGCATTATCCACTTATTTAGTCAGTTTTGAAATCTTCTTTTTATTAGCATTAGAATTTTCTTCCCATTATTCTTCACATTGCAACTAACTGGTCTACGGCCTGATTACGTGATAGCTCTTGTAATATAGAAACCGTACTGCTCTGAAATAAACATTTTCATTCAAATCACGAGACATAAGAACTCACAGACAACTGCTAACTAACTGGAATTAGGCAGTCGAGTGACAAGATGCACGTAATTAGAAATTAGTTAACACCTGCAATCATACCGAAAAAACAAGAATCGAGGACAAGGAAATCAATCAGTTTATACTGGCAAGTGGAAAAGACACTGGACTTTGGTTATTGGACGTCCATCACGATAACATACGACATAGGTTGTTTGGATTTTTCTGCCGCTTTTTTGAATTAGCTATAAGTTTGTTCGGTTTGTGTATATTTTCTGCATCAAAATGTCGTAAATTTTCAACATGTCTTGGATAACGTCATACCAGAATGAAATTCTTGCCTTAAACTTAAAGGTCTTAAATGCAGCGAAAGTTTGCAAATTCAAACTTTCAATTATTCTGTTACATAAATTTGCACTAACATTGTTTACTATTTGTCTAAATTTGCACCAGTTTATTTTCTATTCACAAGTATACTTGAAGCTAGTTATAATACCAGAATTCCTATCGGAATAGCAAGCTATTTAACTTTTGGAATTTGATTTTGATGTCTTAGTATAAGGTGACATTTTTGTGTATGTAGGGAAAGGAAAGAACATAATAAAAAGCGAATCGAAATGATCTCAATAAGTTTATTCTTTTGCACTAGATCTAATTGGAAGACGTCTGATGCTCCGATGTGTACGTTACAGGGGCTGGTTATTAGATAGATAAGCGCACCATGGCACAACAGATATGTTACTGTAAAGAGGTATACAGTGCTCCTTCAGTAAGTGTGGTACTCGATGCGACCGGTAAGATCAACATCTGAATCTAAGGGTTAAAAATGGTTAAAGTGAAATCTAAGTTAAAAACAGCAAGCTCCGATTCAAACACATAGAATGAGATGTACCTAACGATTAGCAAAGTAAACCGCGTAAACACTAAGTTTTATCTTCAAGATTTCACGTAGAGTTCAAATGGAGCAAATAGCATTACCCAGAGAAGCTGGGAGTACTATCAAAATCGAAATGCGCAAACATGGTGAAAGAAAAAATGTGAAATTATGACGACGGATAATTGAAAAAGGAAATATTACTAAAGTTGATGAAATAAAACTTGACTATATTCACAACTATAGAGCCTTCCTCCGTTATAACTAATTTAATCAGGTTTGTGTGTACTTAGTGGATTTCGCGTAAGACTAATCAAAGTAGCAACTCCAGTGCTCTACATCTTTCTGAATAGGGTTTTGATGTAGTATTGGTTTGTTTTGATAAATAAAAGAAGGACTTTGGTTTATATATTTCTGTTGATTTGGTACAGCCAGCGGACAAGTGATGGAGCAGTGCACTTCAGAACCAGATAAACAATCAGAAAAAGATCTAGAAGAAGTATGTGAGAAAATGAACGTGGTAGCAGAATCGAATGAGGATTCGTCGGTAAAACCAGCGACGAAAAAGACAAAGAAACAGAAAAAGAAGTCTGGAAAATGCACAAGTATGTAAGGCATTCTGCTAATTAGATCTCTTGAAGATGGTCACGATGAGGCTGAGTTCAAAGAAAATGAGACAGGAGACATTTCAGTTGACTGTAGTGAAATCGCCTCTTCTTCTAATAAAGTGTCAAGCGAATCATCCATATCTCAAGCTCCAAATATCTCACGTCAATCAGACCCTCCTTCTATACCTATTTGTCAATTGTATCCCAATGGCGATTTCCCAGTCGGTGAAATTATTAATTATGAACCAATCACTGATGGGTTAGTTTATCATTATTTCATCGTCATTCCTATGTTTATTTATATTTTGTCTGCAAACTTATAACAAATCTGTGTATACTTTCAGTATGTATTCAGCATTCTTAAGCATATAGAAGTACTAATCTTTACACGAACGTGATTAACAGCTTAGACAGGTTGGCTTATTCGAATGTGTAAACCGTTTCTAGTATATGCCTCGTGGTTTGTGTTTTTGATCGGTCAATCGTAGACAATAAACTGATTGTGGAAGCTGAAGTAATTGAGCGAACTGACCACTTTATTTGTCTTGGGATTCTTCTCAACCTCGGTTGTTTGATATGCGACAACATCTTAAGACGTTTTCAGGAAGCTCATCTGGTTTTTGTCAGCTTGTGTTTGCGGGGTGCTTCCCTTTTAACCGATTAGCTATTATACTGTGCAGCAGAACTCTACATTTTGCTTTGTTAGTTTATAATCTAATGTTTAAAAGCAGATGACGTCCGTAGATTGCTAATTTTGAACTGTAGATGCTTTTCAATTATTACTGATATATCATGGAAAAAGGGAGTGTTCAGTACTACCGTTAAACAGAGGGTGTAAAGCTAAGTTTGTGAATCGGTTTGTAAAAGAAGAAGTTGCGCGTAAGTGAAGGTTTTTAGTACATTTGAACAAAAAGAGTATAATAATAAATGTTTCCTTTTCATCAAATGTGTTTTCTTCTTAGAAGTGTCACACTACGTAGGTATGTGGCCCGTTGTCTTATTCGGTAAATTTACCCATAGATTTAATAATATTCCGTGGTTAGATTTTGTACACAGATTGAAGCTAATTAGTACATTCCTTTCTTGTAGTCGTACAGCTATCAACCGCACAACGTCAGAAGAATGCAAAGCCCGTGACAGTGCTCATGAAGAGATCTATCAACAATTTCGTGAAGGTGCAGAGGTTCACAGGCAAACAAGAAATTATATTAAAAAATGGATACGTCCCGGTGTTCGTCTCATTGACATGTGTGAAGAACTTGAACGCACTAGCCGTGCACTCATTTTAGAACGTGGACTAGACGCGGGTTTAGCTTTTCCAACAGCTTGTCCACTTAATAATTGTGCAGTTAATTACACTCCGACTAGGGGTGACAATACTGTTCTAAATTACGATGATGTATGCAAAATCGATTTTGGGGTACATGTAAATGGTAAGTCAACATTGTTTTGATTTAATGGTACA